AAATCACGAAAGGAATCCCAGTCAGCTTTAGGGTAGTAGTAGGTGGTGCGATGATAAGGTGAGCCCAAAAAAGAAGTACAAGAAGAAAGATTTACAGAGATCATTGCGTGGTCAGAACCACCTAAGGGAGAAAAGGGAGAAACTGAACATAAGCTAGGGTCAGAGATAAGACATAAGTCAAGGAGTGAAGGTAAATGATTAGGGTTGTCAGGAAAATGAGTCACAAAGTTAACTATCTGAGTAAGAGATTGAGAAACGCAGAAGTTAAAGGCTTTAGTGCCAGCAGGATCAGTGGTGTTAGAGCCAAGCCATTCAGTGTGATGGGCATTAAAATCACCAACAACAACAATATTGGCAGAGGGGTAAAGAGAGAGTGCATGGTCAATTTGATCAGAGATAACATCTAAAAGAGTGCAATCATGGGAAGAAGGAGAACGATAAAGAACGAAGAGAAAGGTGATAGAGTGAAGAGGTGCTAGGCAAAAGCACATAAAAGAATGGTCAAAGGATTCGAACCTGATTTCACGACAAATAGGGGAATTAATGCGTATGTAAACCCCTAAACCTAGCATATGACTATTGGAGTCTTTACGAATCAAAGGATAGTACCCATCAACACTGACATCTGAAGAAGAAATTGCAGAACTTAAATTTGTTTCACTGAGTGCAAGCAAGTCTGGTGAATTTTGCAGGAGGTAAGACTCAACTGATGGAAAGTTGCTTCGTAGACCGCGAATATTTGTAAAAGATATATTAAAATATTTAGGTGGTGGGGATGGTTTTTTAGGTTTTAAATTTTTGCTTACTTTGGTCATGATTTGGGTTTAATGAGAACTTGACTCATTCATAGATAGAGCACAGCCTCCTAATCAATGAGCTATGCAGTTGTCTCAGTCCTGTTAATTAACCCTAAGCCGTGACATAGGGCTCCTTATGTGGCCTTGACAATGCACACCAAAAGCATTAACAGGGACACCATCCATGCGCAACATGGCACTGTTAATACTCTGATATTTTGCAGCTGTTGATGGAATCAGCCTCTCTGAGAGCTACCACAGAGTTCGGGAAACCTTACTACCAGCCGGCCTCAGAACCATTAAACTGAGTTTTAGAGCTGTACCCTCATATGGAGATAACAGGAAGAGTTGCATAGCCATTATCAAGGAGGCATAAGCAAAATTCTATGAGTAGAGTCAAGGAGATCCAGCATTCATCATCCTAAGCAGGAAACAATGTAACACAGGTTACATCTACGCCAGCCTAATAGATGAAGAAGGGGTTCGAGGCTGGTTAGCAGAATTTTTCTGCTTACCCCTATAGTCTTTGCCTAGAGGCCTTCTACAAGACAGTAGCAGGATGCAGTTAACATCTGCCCAAGATGAGTATTTTTATCGAGACACCATCTCTAGCCTTTACTCAACCAAGAGCCCCAAGGCAGGGGATGTTTAGCTGGATGCAGTTAACATCTGCCCAAGATGAGTATTTTTATCGAGACACCATCTCTGGCCTTTACTCAACCAAGAGCCCCAAGGCAGGGGATGTTTAGCTGGATGCAGTTAACATCTACCCAAGATGAGTGTTTTTATCGAGACACTATTTCTAGCCTTTACTCAACCAAGAGCCCCAAGGCAGGGGAATTTTTAGTCGGAGTTTATTTCTCCTAGCCTTTGCATAAGAAGAGCACACTCTGCAAGGCAGCAGGGCTTGTGGCAGGTGGTACTGGGTTACGTGATACCAGTAGCAAGATTGATCTCGATTATCCTGACCTGACCTGGAGTAGTTAAAAGGAGTTACTTCCCGCAACAGTACTTTGAGAAAACCAGGCATGACATTTCGGAAGTGCATTAGGAAAAACACTGCATCTAACAAAATACAGGAGTCTAAGGTGAGTGTACGTTTTGTAGTTGGAGTAAGTAGTTAGTTACTGAGCTCACGCTGCATTAGAGTATAAACAGAACACAAACAAACATAGACATTAATCAACTTACGGGTGAGTCAACACCGCGCCAGAGGTTCAGACAGAACACAAACATACATAAAAAACATAAAGTAACTTACGGGTGAGCAAACACCGCGCCAGAGGTTCAGACAGAACACAAACATACATAAAAAAAAATAAAAAACATAAACATAAACATAAAGTAACTTATGGGTGAGCGAACACCGCGCCAGAGGTTCAGACAGAACACAGACATACATAAAGAACATAAAGTAACTTACGGGTGAGCGAACACCGCGCCAGAGGTTCAGACAGAACACAAACATACATATAACATAGATTACAGGTGAGCTAATACAGTAACTAAGGCACCTCCAACTATATTTGGGAAAAAAAAAAAAAAAAATTACTATAGGCATGACTGATATAAGATAGTACTGATGACAGGAAGAACACTCCTTCCAGCCTTTGCTTAGATAGCAAATCCTGCAAGGCAGCAGAACATGGAACAGGTTGCACTGGGTTACATGTTACCAGTAGCAGGATGATCATGAAGACCATACTCCTGACCTGACAACATTTCATTCATTTTTTCTTTAAGACAACAAAATGAATTAAAAAGAAAATGCAAAAATTTTTTTACATAACTACATAATGTATTTTTTACATAACTACATAATGCCTTCGGTTACAAAGTGACATAACTATCGTGCGAGTTCAATTTTTGAATGATTGAACTTTTGATCTTGCTATTTTAATTTACGCGAGGAAAACGAAAAAACAAAGCGTTTTTCTGAAAAAACAAAACTTTTTATGAAAGTTTTTTTTTTTCTTTCAATATTTTTTAAAATAGTAAAAATAAAGATTTCAATAACTTAAAAGTTTTATTAAAATCTGTTTAAAATAACCCACATTAAATTTTTTTAAATTATACTAAATTATTCGAAAAAATTTTTTTTTTAAATATATATTTTTTAAAATACAATATGCTTTTAATTCAAAAAAACATTTTATTTTTAAAATTTTGTTTACCGTAATTATCTCATCTTTAATTATCTTTAATTTAAAAGACACCTATTAAATCACTTTGAAAATTATTAACTTTTAGTAAAAGTTAAATGAACAGGTTTCTTAATATTTAAATCAAAATTTTAAAATTAAATATTTAGTAAATAAGTTTATTAAATGCTTATGTTATTTTTGTTATTTCGAATAACTAATTAAATGCTTAACGAATTTGTTTATTAAATGTTTATGTTTTTAATTTAAAAACAAGACCTAAAACTATTTTGTTAATTTTACAAATATTACGTGATTTAGTGTATATAAATATATTATTTAATGTAAATATTCATTAAAAATGGTTTAAGGTATTAAAACATTTAAATTAAATTTACAAAAAGATAGTTAATAAATGTTTAAAATACTTTAAACAATTTTCAATAATTATTTACTGGTAGGGTGGTATTTGCAACAAAAATGTTATTTAAAGTCGTAAGTAAAATAGCTTTCTTAATGTATCTAAAGTAACATCGTCCTCCAGTAAATTCATGTATTCAAAAAATAATTATTAAAAATTATAGTTGCGGCACCCATTTAACTAAGGGAGAAGGAAGGAGGGGGGTGAGGAAGAGGAGAAGGGGGCTCAAAAACATGGAAAGGAGGGGTACCTCATTAACATTGCCGGAAAAAAACAGTATCCCCAAATAAACTCTAGGTTCTTCACTGATATATATATATATATATATATATATATATATATATATATATATATATATATATATATATATATATATATATATATATATACACATATAATTTAATTTATATATATATATAATTTAATTTATATATAGTATTTATATAAATATAAATAAAATACATCTGTAATAAAATATTATAAATAACAAGGGAAAAGGACTGAGAAAACTGTTTCAAATGAAAAAATAATTTATGGACAACTTTCTGCAACAAAGTGAATCAATCACCTTCAGTCAACTTTTTAGAGCAGCAATCTATTATTTCGGCTGTCATAGTTTGCCTTTTTTTGAAAATCTAGTTTTTAAAAAATCAACCTAATATATAAATATATATATATATATATATATATATATATATATATATATATATATATATATATATATATATATATATATATATATATATATATATGTATATATATATATTAAATTAGTAGAAAATCACTAGGCAAAATTTTTTCTCCTTTAACACTGTGTTTCAGCAATAAAGACTCATCAGAAATGATGAGCCTTTTTTTTTTGATTTCTGATGAGTCTTTATTGATGAAACACAGTGTTGAATGAGAAAAAATTTTGCTAAGTGATTTTCTACTAATTTGTAATTGCTCTGTTCTTTTAATAACATTGAGCACTCTTTTTGTAGAATACATTTTAAATTGTTTACATATATATATATGTATATATATTATATATTATATATATATATATATATATATATATATATATATATATATATATATACATATATATATATATATATATATATATATATATATATATATATATATATATATATATATATATATATATATATATATATATATATATATATATATGTATATATATATATATATATTATATATATATATATATATATTATATATATATATATATTATATATATATATATATATATATATATATATATATATATATATATGTATATATATATATATATATATATATATATATATATATATATATATATATATATATATATATAATATATATATATATATATATAATATATATATATATTTTTTTTATGTGTTTAATAACTGATGATTGTTGTGTATGGTGCAAAACTTTAAGTACTATCAATAATGTTGTTTTTCATTTAAACAAAATTTAAATATCTATTGCTCTATTATAATAATATTGAGCATGTATATATACATTTTTCTATATATTTATATATATATATATATATATATATATATATATATATATATATATATATATATATATATATATATATATATATATATCTGTGAGTGTGTGTGTGTGATTAACTTGTTTTAGACAGTCAAGATAAAGTTAAAGCTAAATCTATTCCTGAAAATGATAGCTCCACTGTTATTTCTTCTAATCAAGACATAAAAAAACCTTCATCTAACTCAGTTGCCATGAAGAGTTTCAATAAAAATAAAGGTGATGCAGCTGTTCGATCACAATGCCAACAAATGATAGCTAGTTCTTTAAAAAGTGAAAATAATCCAGGTATTTTTTTTTTAGATTTTTTATGTATACCTTTTAGCTTTTATTTTTTTAGCATAAAATTCTAATTAAACAATTGACTTTTATTATTAGAAACAGTTTTAATTAAATTCTTTAGAATTAATAATTTAAAATTTATGTAGTTGATAAAATTTAAATAAAATTTTCTTCAAATTAATAAAAAGAAAATTAGGCAAGTATTACTATTTAAGTAAGTATTACTATTTATACATTTTTTTAAAACCACATATTGATGGCATAGTGCACAGATGTGGTAAGTGCAAGATTAAAAACTGTAAAAACTGTCATTTGCACGCATAATTTTAATAAGAAGAGTTTTTGTATTTACCACATATTGTTAATTAGTAGACTCTTTATCGTTTATCGTACACATACCATATTTATGCACAATAAACTATAAATAAAAACACGTTTTTCTGCGTACTTATCTCAATTTGATCAAAATGCCATCAATATATTATTGAATACCTGAAAATGAAACAAATGGTTGAATTGTGACACATTCTCTGTTTTCTCTACACATTCTTTAACATGCATCCCCTTTGCCAGAATAAAATAATCCAGAATTAGTACCATCAACCTCATAGTTAAAAAATGGGGTGTTAACAATTAAATATTCGGCTAGTATTGCCAATTTGCCATTCCAAACCCCTGCTTCAGTTTTCTCTTCATTAACCATACCACCAACTTTTTTTTTTATTCTGATTCACTTCCAACAATACTGCAAGCAACCACTATTAAGTTAGGAGTTACTAGAAAAAATAAATTGAGTTATAGAGCAAATTAATGGTGGAAATGGTATGACAGAAGACTTGAAAAGTTGAAGGTTATATGAGTCAGGAAAACATGAAGATAGGAGAGAGTTCCAAAGGACTGAGGTGCTTCAGAAAAAAACTAAACAAATGTTTTTAGTGCATGCAGGGACAGATACAGTAAAAAAATGAGACTTGACGAGCCTAGTGAGAATAACTTTTAGTTGCTGGAACTAGAGATAATAGCATCCTTTGAACAGCGACCATTATAATATTCATAGAAAAGAGAAAGAGATGCAACTTTACGACGATGGGAAAAAGGCTCAAGCTTAACAGAAAGAGCAGGTTTAACTACATTTACAATGTGTTTTTGGACCTTGTCTAGAAGAGAAAGAGCATCATTAAAAGAACCAGCTTAAATATGACAACAGTATTCCATACAGGGACAAATTAGAGATAAGTAGAGGTAGAGAATGGAATCAGGAGAGAGAAAATGGCTAGCAAGATAAAGAGAAGCGACCTTAGCAGATGCTAATTTAGCAATTGATTGTATATATGGTTTCTATGAAAAGTCAATAGTAAACAATAATCCAGGAAAATGTAAAGACTAATTAATATTCCTATATTAATATTAATATAGGAATGTCGACAGTACTGCGATAGTTGCATGCAGGTAATATCTGAGTTTTGTTGGAATTAAAGTTTATAAGCCACTGTGAGCCCCAATCTGTTACAGAAGTGAGATCAGATTCAAGATCAACTACCTGTTCTAAGCGATCGAAAAGAGAAGATTTTTTGTCAAGACAGGAGTATAAAGTTGAGCAATCATCCGCAAAAAGAGCTACTTAATATGTAAGATTGTTGGTAAGATCATTAGTTTAGATAAGAAATAAAATAGGACTAAGGATAGAACCTTGAGATACCCCAGAAGTTACTGGAAATAGAAACTTCTACTATTTCTTTAGTAAGGGAATCTGAAGTATACTATTACAATATATAGAGTTGAAAAAGTATATTGATTGTAAGACTGCTATGTTTAGCATAAAAGCAGAGTCAAAATGACTCAATCTATAAAAGAAGACAGTTATATATATAAAAAAAAGTCTGTAAATAAAAAATTTAAGTATGATAAAAATTTAATTATGATTATTTGAATTTTATATTTTAAATTTTTTATCGTTGTAAGTTGAATGATTTTTTTCAAATTACTTTCATTTTTCCAGTGTAGCTTGAGCATTTAATGATAGTTTGTGAAACTTTCTTTCACCTTTCATCTTTGTATTAGTGTGATGTCTAATACATAGCACATTTAGAGTTAAGTTGGTTACTTCCTGTTTTTTATTTGCTTGTAAAGACCTTTTCCAATTTCCTCTTCATCTTTTTAAGTACAATACAATAACTTCTTTCTTTTCCATTAGCCACTTTTCCTTCTAATCGCATGTTGGTTGTCTCTCTATCTTTAATAAGAGGAAACATGCCAGTCTTGAATGTTGCTTGGCCCTACCCATTCATTTCTTTGCACCAATTTATAGCAGCTTCTAGTTATTTATTACTCTCACTATGTTTTCTGGCAACTGCGGCATCAGCTTTTGTACTAAGATTTCCTAATTTGTTTATATATAAACGTAACTCAGATGTTGGTATCATTTTATTTACTAACATAACATGCTTGGCAGTATTTCTGCAGTAAATTAATATGAAAAAGTAAATTTTTTATAGATGATAAATTATCTTAGAGTAAACTATATAAATATTTTATTTGATTATTTCAATATTTTCCAAAATCATAAAAAAATCAGCGTTGTTTTTGTGGTGGATATGATGTGGTTTTTATAGTACACTCAAAGTAATAGTTAGCAGTGATGCAATCACCCTAAGAGCAATTTATTATTATGTGGTTTTTAGGGTGCATGGTGAAAAAATTAGTCAACTTCAACATTCTAGCAAAAGAACACATGCGAGTCTTGTGTCAAGCAAAGAAAAACCATACCTATCAGAAAAAACTCCATTTAGGCTTATCTTTCGATAATAACATTAAAAAAATTATTATTTATCTCTTGAAAAAAGTTCTAGGCTCTCTTATTTTTACATGGTGTAACCACCTTGGTTGAAATCTTCTTTTTTTTTTTTTAGATTATGATCCTACAAATATTGCTGCAGCAATAGAAAATGGTATATTTCTTTATTTTAATATTTTTTTGCTAAACAGTTCAAGAAAAAACTTTGTTTAAATTCTGAGGATTTTAAAGATTTATTTATTGAAATGAAATATATTACTTTTTAGTTTTTACTTTTTTCACCTATTTAATTTCATCTATTTGATTATTTTGTTGTTTTTATTTCATTAGTTTTATTTGTTGTTAGAAATATTCATGTGCTTCAAAGATACAAATATTAAATATAGAAACAAAATAAAAAGTAAAGTCATGAATCTGCGTGATAAACGGAATCCTGAACTTTGTCAGCTGGTAATTGAAGGAGTTATAACTCCTGAAAGATTTGCAAAAATGACTGCAGAGGTTTATGCATATCCACTTGTTGATTAATTACAGAAACATTTTATATTTGTTAACATGCATTCATGATTTTTTTTGTTCAAAATAGGAAATGGCATCTGACGAAATGAAAAAAGAGCGTAAAAAAATTACAGAGGAAGCAATTAAAGAACATCAGTTAGCAACTACTGCTGGTACAGCTACAGGACAATTCAAATGTGGAAAATGTGGCAAAAGAAATACAACCTACAATCAAGTATTTATTATTTATTTAATAATATTTTTAAAGGATTCCCATTTTTCAGTATACAAATAACTGCTGGATCCTGTAAACTAAAAAAAGTTGAAAAAAAATATTTAAAAAAAAAAAAAAATTAAAATGTAAAACTTGTAAAATGTAAAAGTAAGTAATACAAAGGATATAAGTGGAATACATGTAAAATTGATTATTAAACAAATAGATAAGTTAAAAGTAAGTAATACTAAGGATATAAGTGGAATACATGTAAAATTGATTATTAAACAAAATAAATAAGTTAAAAGTAAGTAATACTATGGATATAAGTGGAATACATGTAAAATTGATTATTAAACAAATAGATAAGTTAAAAGTAAGTAATACTAAGGATATAAGTGGAATACATGTAAAATTAATTATTAAACAAAATAAATAAGTAAGTTAAAAGTAAGTAATACTAAGGATATAAGTGGAATATATGTAAAATTGATTATTAAACAAAATAAATAAGTTAAAAGTAAGTAATACTAAGGATATAAGTGGAATACATGTCAAATTGATTATTAAACAAAATAAATAAGTTAAAAGTAAGTAATACTATGGATATAAGTGGAATACATGTAAAATTGATTATTAAACAAAATAAATAAGTAAGTTAAAAGTAAGTAATACTAAGGATATAAGTGGAATACATGTAAAATTAATTATTAAACAAAATAAATAAGTAAGTTAAAAGTAAGTAATACTAAGGATATAAGTGGAATATATGTAAAATTGATTATTAAACAAAATAAATAAGTTAAAAGTAAGTAATACTAAGGATATAAGTGGAATACATGTAAAATTAATTATTAAACAAAATAAATAAGTAAGTTAAAAGTAAGTAATACTAAGGATATAAGTGGAATATATGTAAAATTGATTATTAAACAAAATAAAAAAGTTAAAAGTAAGTGATACTAAGGATATAAGTGGAATAAAATTAAACAAAATAAAGACTTAAAGAATAATCATAACTACTTAAAATGTTTATTTAAAAAGCATTTAAATTTTTTATTTTTTGAATTATGACAAACATGAGTTGGGAGGTTATTAATAATTTGTAAAACCATGAATTGAAAACTTTTTCTTTTAAATTCTAGATTTAGCTCCCATATTAAAATAAGTTGTCAAAATCATCTGTATAATTTAAAAGTTTTTTTTGCAATTGTAATTAATGCTATTTTTAGTTAGCTAAAAATAATTATTGAAGTTTTTATTAAAGTTTGACGGTTGTACATTATAAGAAAAAACTATTTTTAATTTTCTTATTACATTTTTTAAAGCTCATTTTAGTTAGATTGGTTTTTTGATCATTTAGCTAGATCAACCAATTTTTCATCATTTAGTTAAATCAATTTTTTCATCATTTAGCTAGATCATCCGATTTGTTCATTTTTTAGTAAGAACACAATTTGTATTGAATTGTTGACACAAGTAATATAGGAAATCTTGATGCAAGTAATTTTTCTTCTACTAAAAATATTGTTTTCATTTTGTTTTAGTTTAAATTTTTGATCTTTAAGGTACAGACACGAAGTGCTGATGAACCTATGACTACTTTTGTTTATTGTATAGAATGTGGAAACAGATGGAAAGTAAGCTTTCTTTCTATTTATTTTTATTGTATAGAATGTGGAAACAGATGGAAAGTAAACTTTCTTTCTATAGGTTTATTTATGATATTGTTAGAAACAGAAAATTTTAGGAGCAGAGGTGGATGTGACATTCAATGTTACACTTGAATCATTTATTTTATTCAATATTTTGAATTTTCCTTTCTAGGAAAATTTTATTTAAACTAATTTCTAAAACTTAAAATATTTTGAATCTTATAAAAGGTCATACTGCAAAGAGTTTATCTAATAAAGAAATAAATTGTAATATTCTAACAAATAAAAATGTTAAACAGTAAAGTTGCTCACTTAAAATTGCAGGTAAACATATATACTATTTGGTTATATATATAGACCTGCAAATAATGATCTTTTTTACAGCTTTATTTTACTTTATTTACACAGCTATATTTACATAGATTGCAGGTTATGCTACACATCATTAACTACGTAAAAACTTGAAACAAAAAATTAAGCTAAATTAAAAATAAAAAACTTTTGTTTAAAAAAGCATGTATGTTTAATAGAAATAAAAATGTTTTTAAAAACTTTGCAATTAAAATTGATAAAAAACCAACTAAAATTTTAATGCTAAATAGTTATACTGTAGCGTATATAGATAATATTTACTATAGTATGTGTAGATATGTATATTTGCTGACTTTTTTTTGCTTACTTTATTCCATGTGGCTTTTTCATTAAAAGAATGAAAGTAAAAAAAAGATTTTAGCCCAAATCCTTAGTCAATTAAGTAACACTCTTTGTATGAGTGTACTGAAGCTGGTTCAGTTTAATGCAAGACTTATCTAAATACACAATATAACTACAAATTTGGTAATTTAAAGTATAACTTTGAAAAAGGTATAGAGCTGACAAAATTGTTAATATATCTTTTTTTCAAAAATCTTCTTATGATAAACGATAAAAAATGAGTTTAACAACTTTTTAAGTAAATAGTCTGCCAGGTGTTCAACAATACAAAATTTATCATAACCATGACATTAGTTGGATTCATAAAAATCTAAGATATAAGTATGCTTCTCACCAACATCAGCATTAGTATAAATTGAATAAATCTATTTGTAAATGCAAATGCAGATTTAACTTTTTCATCAACAGAGTAATTAATCTGTAGTATTGCTTGACAAATGAAAATTTAATAGCTTTTTCGGTTGACTAATTCAAGATTTATCTAAATATTCAAAATGTGTAGCATGTATATACAGAAACAGTTGTTCTTTAAAAATAAAAAATAGCTGCTATCTTGTGTTATTGCACTATTTAATATCTGTTATCTGTTTCACATCTTTAAATTCTTTAATTATTGTTTTATTATAGTATATACAATAGGGTGTCCTGTATAAAAAAATTTCCCAAGGTCCAAATAGACAAAAAATATAGAAAAACCCTTTTTTGACTTTTTTTTTGTTCCTGTAAATGTCTAAAGCTTTATTTTTCAAAAAAATGCAATTTTTAGGGGAAAATTTATGTATTCAAGGAATTGTATTAAAAATATGTTGCTAGTTTAAAAAGTATTTTTTCAATTTTTTTTTTTTTCTTCAGAATCTTCTTTAGCTTTGTTCTGTTATCTCTGGCAACTAGTTCTATTTTATGTCTTCCAATCTTTAGTCTTTAATTGTCCTAGATCAGATTTTTTTCTGCAGTCATCTAACTACCATCTCCCTTGATTTAAAAAAAAAATGCCCAGGTCTCTTTCAATAAACTAAACTTCTAGAGTTGGATTTACTCCTGCTTTACTTTGGATTTTACTGTAGACTCACAATCTTATCCCTTATCCCTTAATATTATAAAAATATGTTTATTAAAAGGTTCTTAATTACCTAGGTATTAGTTGGGTCTAATCCCAATAGACTACTGTTTTGTAGTTAAAAATTGATCTTAAATGGGATTAATTATTAGTTTAAAAAAGGATTTAAAGCAGTAACAAAGCAACAAAAGATATCCACCTCCTCCCCCCTCTCCTGCAAAAGTCAAATCTGAAATACTTTCCTCCTCTTTAATCTCCATTTTAAAAGATTATTTTTGTTGAGAAAAAGATGTTAGCTGATTGCAAAGTTGTTATATTTTTTTAAAATGAATTATTGTTTTACTAAAATAGCTTAATTAATGTACTTTGCGTTTCAACGTTACAACATCATACTTGCCACTTAATAAAATTATAAACTATTTTATTACTCATGAGTTAATGCAGTTTGTTTTAACTTTTTAGGTATAAATAAATAAAATGTTGCTTACTATTTAAAATGTTAATCAAGATTACTATTAAAGCTAAAAAAGTAATCTGAAAAAGAGTTTGTAATTCTTAGCTATATAGTAATGGTTGATGGCGATGTGTTTACATGTTAACATACATGCATATTAATTTTTAAAGCGATAACTTTTATAATTTTTTGAAAAGATTGGCTTGGGCCCATATTACCTCTGGCCTTATCCCCGCAATTGCAAGCTTGTCGCTGCACAATTGGATTAAAGCCAAAAACTTACTTTGCATCAAATTTGTCAATTTTAAAATAATCCGAAATTTTCTTGTTCAAAATTTGCAATTTGAGATGAATGTTATAAAAGGAAATTGTTTCAAAAATAGAAATTGTATAGAAAAATTGCAACAAAAATTTTGAGTGCAATTTTGTGTGATATGATTTCAAAGTATAAATTTTGAATGGAGCGGAAAAAATCATAACAATCAGGAGTTTTCCTCAAATGTTTTTAAAAATTTGAAATTAGATACTAGAAACTACTAGAAATCGAAAGGTAAAAACAAACAGTTTTTTAGTTATACATGTTTCCTTTTAAGCATAAAAGTAACAGAATTCAAAATATTTTATTCTAAATTTGATATAATATAAAAATTCTAAAATTCTAAAATTTCTAAAAATTCTTTGTAGTTATTCTAAAATCAATTATCATCTATAATTGGTAACTTATATATAGTAAAAAAATTGTCTTTAGTGTAACTACAGTTACACTAAAGACAAAACCTATAAAGGCAAAGTGCACCTCAAGTGTCGTTTTTTTAATAGCATAAATTGTTATCGACACACATATATATTAGAGCAAAAACTTCATGGGATTGTTGTTAATTGTTATATTATTTATTGTTGTAATTGTAATTTAAGATATTTTGGCATTTTAGTAGTTAAAGTAGCAATCAAATAAGCTGAAAAAAATATTTAAAAACTTGAGCGCTATATTTCAGTTAATCATCTGTCTCAGTCAATCATCTCTTCTCGTCTCTATCAGTCAATCACGTCTCTCAATCATCAGAAATTAATGGTTTGGGTGGAAGTAGTTTTCCTTTAATGGTATCTTCCCTGAGAAAACATCGCAGATTGAACCTCAAAAGTGGCATAAAGAAGCTGCTGATCTTTTGAAAAGTATTTATCAACGCCGCTATGCAGACTTATACATAGGTTTAGTGAGCGAGGGTTTTAGCAATTAATGCACCTTTTGTAACAGCGCATCTTTAAGCACATTCTGCATGAACTACAACTCCTGACAAACAACTAACCAGCCCTGCGAGATCAACGTGATTATGAAACAATTGAAAAGATCCGGCATTATGAAGAAAGACATTTGATCAGGCAATTGCTTTTTTGAGCGTTATCTCTCATCCATTTCAAATTTAAAAGCATGGTAAGAAATGCTATCATGTTTTTGTAATTTCTATCTTTATAAAACATCTTGGTTCGCTAATATTTGTTAAGTAATTTTTACACAAATCAAAATAATATTCATGATGGCTATACCTTTTTACTTTTTGTTTTTAAGATACCTTTTTACTTCTTCTTGACTACATTTAATTTCATTATTTTTAAAGGCAATCTGAAGAGGGCGAGAACCTTTAAAATCCTAGTTTACCTGAAACAACTCATTTTTCTCCTAGATGTGTTTTCCTAATGACTAATGCTAGAAATGCTTTAATTTTGCTTTGTAAACATTTTCGCATGCCATACATTGAGCAAGTACAAGCAAGCAGAACAACACATTCTTCCTCTTGTCTATTTGCAACTATTTACTCTTAATCTATTGCAGCTGTTATTAAGTTTTTTCAATCAATGGTTACATTTGCAGTGTAATTATTTTCCTTAGAATAATTTTGAAACAGTTTTTACAATTGAAAAATAAATGGTTATTTTTCATGGTTTTGAACTTTTTTCAAAATAATTCCAGATTTTATGTTTCAATATAAGTACTAATTTCCCTGTTTCTAAATAATTCTCAAGCAAAATTTTTGATTCATTTTGTTTCTTGCAATTTTAGATCCACATTTTTGATACAAATTTGATACTGGGTTGTTCATTTCATTTCTTTTTTATGATTTCAGTCTAGGTAATGCTACCCATTTGAAACGGTATTTGCATTTTTGAAATGTGATTTGAAATGCATTACTTAGGTTATATTAATTAATTTTTTTGCTTTTTAAGTTTTTCTTTTTTAAGTAAAAGTCTTTTCTCTAAGTTTTACACTTTTTATTTATTTTTTTATAATGCTCTAAGGTACTCCATAGATACCTTGATACAATTTATAATTTTATTTTAATCCGTCGCACAAGTTTAACCCGTTATATTTTAGTAATTAATGAATTTAATTTTGTAGTTAAACTTAAATTTAAGATTAATCTATAAATTGCACCAATCGCATATAACAAAGCAAAATTCAAAATGATATTATCGTGCCCCACTCTCTCTTAAATTAAATAATTTCATCACTCATTGAATCTTATTTTAATTTTTAGCTAATTGTAAAATGTATCATGTATATCTCAAAAACATTTAGTATGATATAAAAAAAGAAAAAAAAAAGAACATCCTAATATACATCTTTTTTGTTTAAAAAAAATCGATTATTTCTCAACTATAAAACATGTTTCCTGTCCGAGAAAATTAGTTTTTGTTTTATAGCACAATAAAGAATTTATTTTTAAGTTTTAGTTAATTTGTTTATTTTTTAATTTTAGTTCTGTTAATTATCGTAATGATTGGCCACGCTTGTGCAGAACGATGTGGACATGCTTGTCAGAAACAACTCTTCATTTTAAAATCCTTCCAATAATGTAATAAAATAAATGTAAATATAACTATTCTAAAGTTACTTTGTAGTGGTTTTGTAAAATGGCATCGGTGTAGATTCTATAGCGAAAAAGAAAATAATTTTAAATTTAATAGTCTTTTTTTAAGCAATAAGATTTAAAAAATTTCTTTGTGTTTTCCATTTCACCTTTATATTACACGTTTTCAAGAATTTAGAACGTGGAAATTAAGAAAATCGTATTGAATTTCGGTAAGTTAATAATATAAAGTTTAGCATTTGCATGCACCAGAAGTAATAATGGAATTGAAAGATCGTTGAGTTATATGTCAATACACTATGACCCAAATATCTGTTGTTAAATTAAATCTGTTTCAAAATTTCACCAAATTTGTTTTCTTCCACTTCTGGAATAATCAGAAACTTGTCTAATTAGTCTGCATGAAATACATTTAACTGAGCAAGTAAAAAAAAAACATTACGGTTTATCATCATCAAAAGAGTTATTGAATGTGCTAAAGCAAAATGGCAATTGTGTAACTGGCACAAACTTTAGATGACAAATATATGATTATATTCAAATAAATGTGTAACTCATTACAAAAGGCGGCTTTATGCCAAAAATATTGACCGAAAATCATATTGAAGAAACGTTAACATGGATTGCAAATGATTGTCAATTGACATTCGTGGCTGTTAAAACAAAGATATCAAGACAATTTGATAAAAGCGTCAGCACTACAACAATCGTTAGTTACCTCAGAAGCAGATATCTTTCATTAAAAAAGTGCACAAAAAGCCTTCTACGATTAATTGTAATAAAAGCAAATTGAGTGGAGCTGAATATCTTAGGTATATCAAAGAACATATCACAAATTTCCTGAAGAGCCTTTTTTGTAGAAAAATTTAAAATACCTGTCTCAAAAGGTTTAATTAATATTTGATTGCAGCAATGTCATTATTAACAGCAAATGTCGTCACGATAGAAACTAACAAATGATCGTTTAATGCAAATTTTCGTAATAAGTGGAAGTTGGCAAAATTTCACCAGTGGGTTACATCCGGGAATCGTTTAGAAGAGTTTGTTGTCATAGCAGACAATACTACTTGTCACCCTCGTTTGGTACAAGTTTTTAAAGTTCACCAGCTCAGTTGTTACGTTTAAGACCCTAAAGCCCAGTATTAACCTCGGTGAAAACAATTAGATCCTAATTAAAAGCAAAGTTAAAAATACTAATTGTGTTCCGCCTGTATTGTGTGCTGTTATACTGTATTAAGTTACAACAAATGTAAAATTTAGAAAGTATTGTTACTGCGTCAAAAATATCCAATAATTGGGAGGTTATTGTGTACAAATTTAATTTGAAGAAATAGTTGTTTGAATATAAAGTTATTGTAAAACACACAGGCGTGGTAAGATTAGATCTCTGTTTATTTATATTCAAAATAGCATCTACTACTCGATACACATTTTCACGCCGTTCTTGTTTCACACTCCTGAGTTTACAGCGCCAAAAAAACTGATAATAGGGGGGGGGGGTCCATAATCGTCTTTTTTTAGATTTTTTATAGTTTAACCAATTTTTCTTAATTAGTTTTTTATGCTGATTCTGAGAATCATAATCATTTTTTTTCATTTTAATTATTTTTATTTTCATTTTTAATTATTTACTTCGATTTTAATAAAAGTGAATATATTGACAAAAAAAGGCATTGTTAAAATTAGATGAAATTATTATTATTAAATGTAAGAAAAGTAGAAAACTAGAAATCTTTTTCTGTTTAATTTATTAATAATATACCTTATCATTTATAAGTAACAATAAAAATTAAGTATTATATATGAAAATAATTCATACAGTTTGTTATTTACTATTGAAAATGGAAAATAACTATAAAAGTCATCATATGTGAAAGAGATTGCTGCGTGAACTTTCCTTATAGAACATCGAGGTTATGAGCGTGTTTTTTGGTACACATAAGATAGAGGTTTGTATTTTTATATCAACAATCATGTATTTAAACAGAATAGACCTCCGCGACAATGACCTACATTGTATTCCCAAAATAAAGAACCTCATTTTTCGAACTTTTTTTTCGTTTTAACATATCTTTATCTACTTCAATAATGTCTAGTTCACAGCTAAATGAGCTGCTTGTAACTTTAATCAAGCTAAAACAGAACTCATCTTGCACACCTGATGTAAAGTTTGCTGCTCTTCCATTGTTATCCATTTGTTTTTGTAGCTGGTTTCAACAATATTCCATAGTTTCAACTTTTTGGACAAATAACTGGACAATAATTCTCCAAAATATTTTTAAACTGCGCGAACCTTCATTTTTTATATGGTTTAATAATTAAGTATACATCTACTGGTGAAATTAAATGGGTTTTTCCAAAGCTTTCCAACTGCAACAACTTAATTAGAAAATTAATACTAATCATATTCCATCACCAAACACGTAATACTTTTCTTTTGAAGTCCTGAGGCTAACTTTTGCCAAAATACTCTAGCAAGAATGATACAATCACTCAACCTCTTTGAGGTATATTTATTAACTGCTTCTAGAATTTTTTTTAACTAGCTATTCACTGCGTTTTAAAGTAAAGCAGAAAATTTCAAAATTTGATCACCCAATTTGTTTTTTATAAAGCCTTTTAGGTAGCGGTGTTGTTTTATACTAACTGTTTATCTTTAGAATTGTTAAAACTTTAGAATTTAACTGAACTTCTACTGACTGGCACTTTAAAAGAAGATTTATTCTTGACTTCTTTGAAAAAAGTGAAAAAAAAAAAAGAAATCTTGAATAGCCTTGAGAATAGCACTAAAAATATATTACTAATTTGTTGTCCCTCACATTTGTGAAGTGAAGAGGGGATGAAATTAAAGAGCTTTTCCGTTTTTAATCGTTATTCAAGCTGATAGCTTGAATAACGATTAAAAATTAAAAAAAAAAGGAAATTAAGATATTTTAAATCAATCTGTCTTTTTGAATACTTAAAACGTTTTGTTTAGAAAGAGACTTCAGATAAAACTTTTTTTTTAAAGCAATCTGTCGTTTTACTTATTTAAAACGTTTTTTTAGAAAGAGACTTCTGATTAAACTTTTTTTCTTTCTAAAACGCAACGGATTAAAAATCAAATTTATCCAATCAAAATTTGAATAGCTTAAATTTGAAAGAAAAGTTGCGTAACTTTATACGCAATAAAACTTTTGCAAACACTTTTATTTTTTTTATCTAAAATAGAAGTAGAAGGTCAACCATAAAAAATTAGCAAAAACTGAATTGTTTTTGCTAATTTTTTATAGTTTTCTCAAAAAATTAATTAAGAATAACTGGTTAAACAAAAAATATAGAATTATGGACCCCCCCCCCCAATAAAAGGTGATAAAGGCATTAGCAAATTGTATATTTAAGTCAAAAAGTAAACTTCTAATCGTTTGTTTAAAAAAAAATGTTTATGTTATAAATTATTAAAAAGCTGGTATATTCTGCCGCATTCAATTCAAAAGTGTTTGAATTGAATGCGGCAGAATATACCAGCTTACAGATAAAAAAATAAAAACAAAAAAAGACAGAAAGAAAGAAAATTCGAATATATACAATAAAATTCGAATTTAGAAAAAGAAATTTTAATTATTTGCCATACGTCAGCAAGTCAAGTAGGAAGAATAATAAGTAAGGAAGTTTAAGAATTATATTTAAAGTTGTATTAACTTTTTTATTTTTATTTTACTGTTTTTTCTATTCTTTTTTTTAGCTCATTCATTTTTTTTTACATATCTATTTTATCATATTATTAATTAAATTATTATTAGCTATATAATTGTGTATTTTGTTATTAAGCGTTAGTCATTTTTATACTATTTATATTTTTATTATACATTATTACTACAGCTTTTGTTAATACTGTCACTATTGTTATTACTATTGCTATTTTTGTGATTGCTATTATTATTATTGTTGGTATTATTATCTGTTATTATTATTATATTGTTGATATTTTTATCATAAACTTCATTAATGTTTTTTTTTTATCGTATACTTACAACTATTGTTAATTTATTATATTTAAGCAGTCGTGGACGACGTAGCTCACTTGTCTCAGAAACAAAGGATCTGTGATTCAAATCCCACCTCTGGACAAGTTTTGCGACATCGGTTAGGAAGGAGGCGTGAACTTCCGATTAAAAGCTCATCCGCGGTGCTCTGTGATTAGACCGTAAAGACTTAAGGCACCTAAATAAAACAAAAAATATATATTGTTTCTGTTGTAATAATCTTATAAATATCAATATCTTTATTTCTAAACAAACTTCTTGTTATTATGTCTAAACTAAACAAAATTTGCAATAAAAATATTCGTGCTAATCATCATTCACTTCAATTCAACCACTGCCTAAGTTCAATCCTCAAAAAATGTAGTTCTTTAAATAATAATGATATTAGTTTATTAAAAAATTCTTTCATGAATTATTGGCTCGGTATTACATGCTGCAACAGTATTTTTCCTATTAATTTTATATTGGGTAATGAACTACGTCTTCAAACTTCAACTGAAAATATATTACATTTCAATTATCTGCCAAATCACCTTTTTCTTTTTCCTTGCTCCCAAAAATCTGATATTTTTAATCAAGTTACTTTCTTTATCAGCTATGTAACAACGACGATGATGATACGAACACAGTTAAGAATCCTATCAATTGTAAAAAATAATAACCCATCCACTTGTAAATACATTGACATTGAAAAATTTAGCTCTTCGAACTTCAAAGTTAATTGTTTTTTACTATTTAATTTAAATATCGCATTAGTTAATTATTTTGACAAATTACCTTCACTACCTCTCTAATAAATTATGAATTTAGTATAATAGGAATTACAGAAACTAAGCGGAAATCTGATTTACTCCCAACAACTCCAATAAATCTTAGTGAATATGTTTATGAACATAATCCAACAAAAACTTTATTTGGAGCTCTACTTTATATTTCTAATAAACTAATTTGTAAATCTAGAAATGATTTACCTATGCTCAGTGGCTCAGAACACCGGTTTTTGAGACAAAATTCATCACTTTTTACTTATTAGTCATATGTTTACCAAACTTGGCATCTGTACTAATAA